AGTGGTGGGGTAATTTACTGTAGAGTTCCGACATTGGATTCCTTAGGTGCAGCCTTTTGCACTAAAGTCATGCAAAAATTCATTCCTTCACGTGGCAACTGCATTTTGACGGAAACCTGCAAAAAAATAACCGTTGGTTGAGGAGAGTAAAGGCATTTACTCCTGAACACAGCACAAAGGCTAGAAGTGCTCCTCTATTCGGGCCTCTCTTCGCCATTTTCATCTGCCAACAGACGGGAAAGACAGCTGCAATCAAACCCAGCTTGCAGAGACGTCCGGCAAACAAGATCCTTGACTGAAGTTTTGAATCTATCGGACGCATTTCACCCTGCCGCGGTCGACGCTTCCAACACCCAAACGGAATTTCTTGCTCCGAGCCCATTCCACTTTCTCCCTATCTACAGCGGCAGGTACAATTCCCTCGATTTTCTGGATTTAGCTGCAATTTACATTCCATAAACCTGCGTTGATCTGTCTTTCTAGTTGTCCACGGCTTCATCAGCTGATTATCTCCCTTGGACACCTGATTTTGTGTTGGCTGTGTGCGAAGAGTAGATTTCGTTTATGGTAGATTAAAATGTACTTAGGATTAATTGAACCCGAATCTGAATGAATGGTGGAATAAAGCTGCTCTGGCCTTTCAAATTGGGAGGTTATGAGCATTAAAACTGGATTAACTGGATATATTGCAAGCAGGGAGATTTATTGTCTTTGGGCTTTTTTCTTATCATGGAAAGAAAATTTAATGGGGAAAATAAAATCTGTCCTGAATTTATTAGGAGGATAAGTCGATGTTAGAAGTTAATTTTGCTTTAGAATATGTCAATTTAAGCAGGTGAAATAATTGATGGTGGACAGAAGTAAAATATATTATGACCCTTAAAAAAATAAATTCATCACCCTTAAAAAAAATAATTGAAGTAAAATATATTCTACAATTACGTAAATTAAAGATGGACAGAAGTTGTTTAATAAAGTTTTGCCAAAAAATACAAGGGATTTTCACTGCTTAATTGCATTGGCCTTTGGCAATCAGTTTTCTTTTTTTCCATGGTTTCTTTTGCTTTCTTTCCAATTAAAAAGGTTTGCCTCATAACGCACAAGGATTGGACAAGTGTGATAGGAAACATAAAAGCAAAATATACCGGTCTGCTGTAAAATTTATAAAGTATTTAAAGTTAAATGTGGGTGGCGTCTGGATGCCCAAGGCAGTAATATGCAAAATATTACTGATAATGAGCCAACGAGTCCCTGGATTAATACTTTGAAGTTAGCAGCAAGTTACTTGTCCTTGGCATTGGCATGTTACCTTCTTTAGAATGAGAATTACCAAATGAGATCCTGGGACTATGCTCTTCCTTGGTGATTACATTAAAGGTCAAGTGAGCATGCTATGGCCTGATTAGGAACGCATATTGAAATGAGTGTACTGTCTCTTGTTGATGCTCCTTGCTTTGTGTTTGTGCAAGTGAAAGTAACAGTTATGCTATTTTTCAATGCTAGATAGTCCAAAAGGTTTTTTGGAAAACTCTTGCTTTAGGTTCTTGATTGGATTTAGTTACATAGACAAATAAAGTTCAGCAGTGTTAAGAGTGAGCAAAGGAAAAGATTATTATGCAATTGATGGCCTGGATAGTGCAGGCAATTTGGAGAAAAAAGGATTATTGAATATTCTACAACTGAATCATGCTTGTACTGCTGCTTTGTGCTCCCGTTTCCCTCCTCTTCTCTTTCAGCTTTGGCTTTCTAGGTTTAGATGGACATTGTCTTGTGAATAAGCAATGTGATATCAATTTGGAAGGGGCCAAATCCACACCCTAAGTGCCAACAGGACAGTAAAGCCTGTAGCATTTAATATTGTAACTTCTTTCTAGAATCTGAAGTTATCCTTTCACACAACAATAACAAACTGCCTTCATAACACTCTTCTTTCAGCTATCTCTACCATTCTTTTAAAGACATTCTATGTTTTTTCCTAATACTGACACTGCATAAAGCATTTGCTGTAAATTTATCAGAGTGAGAAAGTTTTTTCTCATGAATTAACACACAAATTTCATCCTTAATGCTTGAAACAAAGAAGGATCAATTATAGATCCGTGACAATTTGTGTCCTATATGCAGGGAAATTTACTGATATCAAATAAATATTAGAAATTAGGAGACCGTATAACTGGAAAACATTTGCATGATTATAGATTGGAATTAAAAGTTAAAAGAATTGGACAAGCAAATTATTATTATTTTATGACAGCCTGTGCTATCAGTTTTGTAGTCCTGACATGAAGCTTCTTGTCATCTCCTTTGATGCGGAACTCATTTCTCCCACTCCAAGCAAAATAAACTGATGGTCTGAAGCTTTCCAACTACAAGTTGTATTGCACTTTCAGTATTAAGTTCAGTATGTAACCCAATTTATGTAGTAAGTTCTCTTGTTATCCGTGTTTGGAACAAACAAGGATTTATACCAACAAATTAGAGGAAAATAATTTTTATGGATCCCTAATATATTACTCGACATTGAAAAACAAATTCAGGATCACACTGGCCTCTGTTGAATGGATACTTAATGTAGCTTTTTTAAGTTTGCAATACGCAAGGTACAACAACTACTGCTCTTATCTATTTGCAGCAATTACAATCAATACCAAATGATTAAGTAAACAAAACAGAATACTCTATGCTTAAAAATGCACACTAATCAAAATTTCAGGCTATGCTTATAGACCAATCAAGCTTTGTTGGTTTAATCTTTCTTCAAGAAGCTACAGCTGCTCTAACTTCGTTGATGATGGACTGCAGGATGACAGAAGCAGGTTTTTCTCCTCCTTAACAAAATTTTTCCTATTCCTTTCTCCTCAAATGTGATGGACATTAGTGGCAAGAGACAATCTAGCTACTTGATCAACAAGGTTGTTCCGCGCATAATGAAAACTAATTAGCCAAGAAAGCGCAATATTCCAAGTATAGGCTTCTCTATATGCCAAACTCAATCCTGCACTTCTCTCCAAATATTTGCAGCATTGTGGTATGCAAAATATAGATGATTAATAGTTTTTGCCACCTGTTTAGACAGATATTGCAGCAGCACAAAAGAAACCTTAGAACTGATCATTAGCTCATACTCGAGAAGGGCTTAGACCACACAACCTCCAACCTTTTGCATTGCAGCTCACACTAGACTTTCTTCTCAATAATGGAATCAGAAATACACCATAGCAACTCTAGGGAGCAAGAAAGATGGAGTGACTTCAAAAAGCAACCTTACTCAGAAGCCCTTTTCCAGTTTTCCTCCCAACAGGCCAAGCCAACTTGCCATCAACAAGAAATAGATGATACTTTAGCAGTTAAAGACCTCCCTAAGCTAAAACTGTCTGAAGTGAAACCACTTCCAGCAAATAGCCTATAGGATGCTAGGAGTCATACCTTAGGAAAGTATCTTTTCGATTTTCCACAATGTATTTAATAAATGGTTTTGTCAAGCTTTTGAAATCAAAAATTTTCCTCCAGCACCAAGCAGTATCTTTTAGCATTTCCAGCTTCCAAATAGATTGCCCTTAATCTTATGCAAATGAAACCATCTAATCTACAGTGTATTTATTTTAAAAAAAAAGGGCCAAAGAAGTTAAACAACGCAAAATTAGACATTTGTTCCACACATACAACCGTCAAAGTCCCAATCCATCTTCCTCTTGCTGGTATAAGATATCCAACCACGAGACAGCGTGACAATAATACAAAATGTAGCAAATTTCAGTCTTGTGTGTGCAGCCTTTGGAAGTATAAGGAAAGAACAAGAATAAAGCTGAATACTACATGGAAAAAAATTTATCCATTGCAGACTTCTACCATACGTTAATCTTTTATTTGCCCTCCCATTGATCCTAGTTGTGAATTTCTCAATAATAACCTTACATTCTACTCCTCTAAGTGTAGATCAGAGAAGAGGAACGTCCAAATATATGACAGGAAGATATCCTCTTCTCATTTTTAGACAAAAGCAGAGAGCTAAGCACCTTCCCTCATAAACACCTGCCGAAAAGGCCTCACATTTTTGTTAATTTGGCTCAAGACAGGGGAGCTCTTCAAAACTGTGTAGTACCTGTTTTATAACACTCATGGACTTATCACTGATTCACTGGCAGCAGTTAAGATAAACAGATCATCTCTAAAACATATATTATCACATTTAGGGTGAAAATCAAAACCTTATTCCTCAATTTTGAAATCCAGCAAAGCAGCAATATTGGGAGTTCAAAGTCTTGAACTTTTGATGTTTAAATACCAGAAACAATGTGCTCATCTTTTATGATTGTAAGCAGCTCAAGACTACATTTGTGAGATGTTAAAAGCTTAGAATCTAGTTCCATCATGAAGAAAAATGAATCTATCAAAGAGGTAAGATGCAGAGTAATGTTTTAAACTGTAAATGCAGTTGATGATATACGTGCCATTTAAGATGATCTAAAGGTCCTTATTTATGTATACATAACTGGAAATAAAGTTGAGTTACCAGGTACTTTTCCGGTACAGTTGAAAATGTGATGATTCCAACATATCAAATTTAGCTAATTATTTGATTAGTCTATTTTGCCAGGGATGTTGCACTATGATCCCATGTGGATAATGCAGCGCAGGCCCTCTCCTTTGAGCATGTACTCAAATGCCATGTTGATCTCTGAGAAAGGCACTTCATGGGTGAGAAACTTCTCAAAGTTCTAGCTCCTGTAATTTAAAACCATCATTCTGTCAGGAACATAGAGTCTCTCTCGTAATTTGATGCAATTCATGTTTAATTCACACTAAAACTAATCTTATCCACTGCAGTAACAGACTTAAGAATTAGTTCAACGAAGAGAAGGTAATCTAAGAGGTTTCTAAAGAATGAAGTGCATACAGATTATTATGTCAAATTGTCAATTCCTTGTTTATAAGACTAGAAGCATATACTGCTTGTCTAAGGATGAATATTTAGTGGAATGTCATGTCAGTGCAACTGGTTAATTGATGTACACAATTGGTACATAACTTGCCATAACTTCCTTCTCCATAAAGATGCTTCTGGGTACTTCACACAACAGCCTATCAGTTTTGGACAAAAGAAATGAGTTTGCTTTATTCATGCACTTCTCAACCACTGAAGGAAGGTCAGTTCGCGGTTTATAATTGCCAAAAAATGTTCCCTTGAGTGTCTTCTCAGTCAGGACATTGATTGGATGAGTTCTGAATGCATCATTCTTATTTGGTACTCCAACAAGTACAGCAACACCCCATCCCATCCCTGCAAGGTCGTAGGATTCAGTGTAGCCAGACTTTAGAATTACTAATTATTGTCTTCTTGAAATATCATACTAGCAAGACATTGCAATTCTTCTTGATTTCCCATCATTAGGCATCACTCCTCTATTGGACTAGGAGCTGTTGGTCTTGCTGTAAGAATCTGTTCTGCATATGAATTTTATACCAAGTACTATTGTACTATGGCTGCTGCTCCCCAGAAATTTCATGCTATTGCTTGCCTACTTGTCTATCAACACTGGTAGAGGAGTGAGGCTTAATGATGGGAAATCAAGATTTTCAATAAACGGGAAACCAATTTATCATTTTGTTGGAACTTCCACTTTCAGTGAATAAACAGTGGTACATGTTGGCCGTGTTGCAAAGATCAACCCTGAAGCTTCCCAGAAGTAAACATCAGTATGGCAAAGGGAAGTGAAGAGGATCTTCAGGCGAACTTCCATTGCCTGGGGTGGTGCAACCTCAACTTCCTCAATTACCAGTGGCTCCCCTGGTCCCCATGCCACAGCAGCTGCAAATTGCAACAACAAAATTAAGCAAAAATTTTTCAAAACCAATCAGTAGATGTAAACCAAACAATTGTTCATAACTCAATCAAGTTGGTCAAGGCATGTTAAGATTACTTTCTGCATTCATTAGCCAACGAAAAATCGGAGTTTTATGGTGTTCGATTTTGACTCAGCTACAACAGAGGAAGGAAATGATTTGAAAGGGAAGTACCTTTGCAGCGCATCACTTGTCCTTCAGTACTGGGGCAAGTAGACTTCTTGAATATTCTGAAAACTTTTCTTTTGGCCAAATTGAAACTTAGGCAGATGGTTTTGTTGTGAAGAAAGAGTTCGTTGAAGGTGGATATATATAGCAGTAGTAATACAAGTTAAATGCAATAGGTTTCATTTTTTTCCCTCTTGGCTTCAGAAGAAAACCAGGATTGGGAAGCAGAAGAGAATGCTGTAAACAGATGCTGCCTTGGTTTACAATTTCCGGTTTCTGAAACAACTTTTTCCTTAAACTATCCAAAAATAAAAGAAAAAAAAAAATCAGTAGTTGACATTTCCGGGTACAGATTGACTGAAAAACAATCTTTTTGCGACTAACAAAACTTGAGGTTTGGCATACGGTTCATCCAATTAGGAAAAAGAAACCGAGGAAACGATGTAGTGTCCAAATCCGTTATTAAAAACTATAAAAAGTTGAAAGCGAGCTGGTCTCAAGTTGTTATATTTTATTACTGGTATCAATAAATAATTCTTGGTTGATTTGACCAGAAATGAAGATGCTAAATCCATGGTTTTAGGAAATGGGAAACCAGATTTGATTAGTTGTTTTTGTTTTGCAGGAAGCCAGTTTCCTAGCAATCTTTTCTGCGGCAAAGGAAAAAAAATGGAAAAGAAGTAACTAACATTTGTCTATTAGTTCTTTATCAACTGTATCTGATTGGTTGATTTATGAACAAATGGACCAAATCATTTAGCACTGTTTGTAACATAAGCTTTGGCATCTATTTCAAGAGATGTCGACAAATAATATTGTAGGCTTTGGTAAGAGCCTTTGGTGGACAAATGCCTGATCCCAATTGGTGGAGAGAATATGTATTTCATTCGCTTTTATTTCCAAAGGTTTCAAAAGTTACAAATGAGGCTTATAACTTTTATGAGTGATATGATACAAGACCAAAGGCATATATACCAGCTAGGGTTGCAAACGAATCCAACTGCTCGCTAGCCGTTCGAACTTGAGTCGAGCTCAAGTTGATTAAGTCGAATTCGAGTTCAAAAATACTAAACTCATCAACTCACGAGTCGGTTTGAATTCAATTATATATATATATATATATATAAATAGAAAAATTACATATATCCCTAATATTTTATAATTTGTTAAGAAAAATTATTATTTTATTCATTTTTTAAAAATAAAATAATTATTTTTTTAAGGTTCGACTCGAATTTGAATTGAATTCTAGTTCGAACTTGACAGTTTGAGTTTGTCAAGTTCGAGTTCAAGGTTCGTAAAATTGTGTTAAATCTCGGTTCGATTAGGTTAAGACTTAACTCAGACTCATTTGCACCCGTAATACCAACATTAATATAGAAACATGAATTGAGCACTTCGAGTACATGAATTTAATAGTTTCATATGAACAAACTACGAGAAGATACATGAGCGTATCAATTAAGGAATGAATATTTTAATATATCTCTTGGAGAATAAATACACATCCACACTTATTATTTCATTAATTTCATAACAGAATATTCATATTATTTTAATTTTTATCATATGTGGTGAAGTAAAAGATATTTTCCCAAATGTGATGAATTGGCTCTTGTTTTCTTCGAGTTGAATATTTATAACTTGCAGTCATTTTTTTTCATTAGACTTTTATGAAACTAAATTTGAAGACTTGTTATTTGATTTTCTCAATTTCATATTGTAAATAAATCATTTGTCATATAGGGTATGTCCATTCTAGTAATGTGCGAATTCAAAATATATGGAATTGAACCGGCAAAAGATAAAAACTATGGAATTGATCAATTAAACGGTTAGTTCTAAACTTTTCAGCATATAAAAATGTTTGGGATTTCTTGTATTTTTCTTTAAAAGAATTCTTGTATCATTCAGACGGTTGTTTTTTTTTTTTTTTCATCGTCCTTGAATTAGGTTGAGGTAATTCCACTTTTCACCCAGTTGAAGGTCAAAATTAAGCAAATTAGAAAAATAAAAATGTTCTTAGTTTGTGAATTTTGGCACTTCAACGCTTGCTTTAGTTTTTGTATATAAATTAGGGGAAAAGAATGACAGTTCTTATACATTTACTTAAGTTTTGATAGTTTTTAATAACATAAAAATTAAACAAACTTTACCAAAAAATTTTGTACCTTTTGTCCTACCTAGAATTTCCTAATACATTTGATCCTACCCAGATATGATTCAAAACCTCCAATAAAATGATTCCTTATACATCCAAAGCCTCTATATGATTCAATGTATCAATTTTAATGCATATCTTAAGAAATTTATAAGACAATGAAATGGAACTTCTATACGTCTATGTGCATTCTAAACTCTGAGGCACAAATAAAAATAGAGTATATTTTTTATACACTATCAGTTGATAATTTTTTTACACTAATAAAGACCTTCATAAACACCTTCCATAAAGACCTCACATTTTTGCTAACTTGGCTCAAGAGTGAGAAGCACTTCAAAACTGCGGAGCACCAGTTTTATAACATTCATGGACTTATCACTGGTAGCAGGTAAGATAAACAGATCGATCATGTCTAAAACATATATTATAACATTTAAGGTGAAAATCAAAACTACATTCCTCAATTTTGAAATCCGACAAAGCAGCAATATTGAGAGTTCGAAGTCTTGAACTTCTCGGATAGGAGAAGCTGCAAAGTCTGTTATTGTCACAGATCGGGTTGTGGTGCCGGAGCATGGAGCAGATGTTGGGCCGCAGACTTCGACTTTGAATCCACTTGAGGATGGGGAATTCACTGATCCGGAGTCTGAGAATGACTATTCCATTCAACCAACTAATGGCGCATTCACAGAGGCTGCATCAGAAGAGAAGGCGATGGAGGCTGGCGACTCCTCACAGCAAGGTAATGGAATTACGTCTGATGTGGCAAACGGTGCGCTCGCGAAGGTAGACCAAGTTCATGACTCACGTGATATGGTGTCAGTTGGAGACACACCCTTGTGGGTACAAGTACAAGAACAGGAACAAAATCCTCTATGCCTCAAAATACACGGTTTAAAGATGTGCCACAATTTAAAGATGTGTTCGAAGAGTTTAAATGGGAGAGATTACATGGTAAGATCCCCCTCGTATATCAAAAGCCATTTCTTCATTCAAGTACAACATGCAATGATGACAAAAATGAAGAAGAAGAAGATGATTCACAACGCGATAAAGACAAAGACCAAGACCAGAAACTAGTTCACGAACAATTTACCCAAGTGATTTCAAAGAAAGCGAGGAAGCAGCAAAAAGGTAAAACAATGCAAACACGTCAAGATGTTAAATCAAACTCCCACGTTCACTCACAATCCCACAAATGTGGGGCACCTTCATGTGGATGATTTTGTTCGATTCATCTGTTATGTGTTTAGATTCGCAGATTTTTCTATATGTGCGTATTATTGTTGTCTTTAGCTCTTCCTTTTACTTTAACAGAGGTCAGGTTTGGTCCCCTCTAATTCGCTGTACTCTTTTCGGATATTAATAAATTAAGGGATGACATCCCTTAAAAAAAAAAAAAAAGCTCATTTTTTATCATTGTAATCAGCTTAAGACTACATCTGTGAGATGTTAAAAGCATAGAATCTAGTTCCATCATGAAGAAAAATGAATCTATCAAAGAGGTAAGATGCAGAGTAATGTTCTAAACTGTAAACGCAGTTGATGATATATGTGCTATTTAAGATGATTTAAAGGTCTTTATTTATGTATACAAAACTGGAAATAAAGTTGAGTTACAAGGTACTTTTCTGGTACAGGTGAAAACATGATGATTCCAACGTATCAAATTTAGCTAATTATTTGATTCGTCTACTTTGCCAGGGATGCTGCACTATGCTCCCATGTGAATAATGCAGCGCAGGCCCGCTCCTTTGAGCATGTACTCAAATGCCTTGTTGATCTCTGAGAAAGGCACTTCATGGGTGATAAACTTCTCAAGTTCAAGCTCCTGTATTTATTAAAAACCACCATTCTGTTAGGAACATAGACTCTCTATGGCAATTTGATGCAATTCATATTCCCATCAATTCACACAAAAACTAATCTTATCTGCTGCAGTAACAGACTCAAGAATTAGTTCAATGAAGAGAAGATAGTCTAAGAGGTTTCTAAAGAATGAAGTGCAAACAGATTATTATGCCAATTCCTTGTATATAAGACTAGAAGCATATACTGCTTGTCGAAGGATGAAGTACATATTTGGGGGAATGTCGTGTCAGTGCAACTGGCTAATTGATGTACACAAATCGGTACATAACTTCCTTCTCCATAAAGATGCTTCACATAACAGCCTATCAGTTTTGGACCCAAGAGAAATCAGCTTACCTTATTCATGTACTTCTCAACCACCGAAGGAAGGTCAGTGCGCGGTTTATAATTGCCAAAAAATGTTCCCTTGAGTGTCTTCTCATTCAGGACATTGATTGGATGAGTTCTGAATGCGTCATCCTTATTTGGTACTCCAACAAGTACAGCAACACCCCATCCCTGCAACGTCATTATTCAGTATATTCAGACTTTAAAATGACTAATTATCGCATTCAAATCTCATATTAGGTTAGCCACTACGTTTCTTAAAACAAAGTAAAGAGTAAGGAGATTACATCATGAACACACTCAAATGCAGAGATCATTGCATTGATACTTCCAGTACATTCAATACTGCGGTCTACACCCCCATCTGTTATCTCTGCAAGAACCTGAAGACAAATTGTTCAAGGCATCATGAGCTGAATATCCATTGTCAGGTATAAATTGCCTCAGAAACAAGAAATACCTCTTGCACAGGCTTGTTGTAGTCCTTTGGGTTCACAAACTCCGTTACACCAAATTTCTTGGCTGGTTACAGAAAAATGAGAACAGACAGAAAGCAATTAAAAGTAAGCCTAGTTTTCTTTCTTATTTAGTTTCTTTTGTGATTTAGGAACTCTATAGCAGAAGCAAGTATGAACATATGGAAATGTGTATTATAA